CTTAACCGGGCCTTATTTTTTGGGTAGGGCTTGTATTACAAGCATCCTGAAAAATCATGCTAGGGCTTAATTCCAGTTGGGTCTTATTTGGGGGGGAAACAGGGTATTATAGATGAAGAACGCTATTTTACAATTCTTTACCTTGGATCTTTACCTTAGCTCAGTTACCTTCTGGAAAACATTTCATTGACTTTAAGCAGACATTGGTTTGATATTCACCAGAAGTAATAAGAGTGCAGCTGTCTGAGTTCCCAGCTATGATAACGACCCCCCATTCAGGACCCTTCCTCATTTTACATAAGTGAAGTTGTTATTATTACAGGTCAAGAACCCTATTTCAAAAATTCTTTACCTTGGACCTCTGGAAAGGCCATCAAATAGAGCAATGTCCACTGCAATGTTGCTGTCATTGTCTCTGTTCCAGCCAAAAACAGGTTAGATAGTAAGATTAGCAGTTGCTGTTCTTCAAAACTTGAACCTTCCCTCTCAGGCTGGGGTTTAATTAAAAGAAAGAATGTTGTTAAACTCAAATGGGAAAAGGACCCTCTCCCAGTCATGTATTCTCATCCATTCAGTTGACAACTCCAATTTAAAAGCCGGAATTCATTCTGAAAAATATGACTAAAAATAGACAGGAAGCAGTGAGAAGGGAAACGAGCAACTCATCATAACAGAGTTTGGGGAGAGAATGAGACTTCCCTAAAGGGTATTATTATTATTATTATATACCCTAGCACAGTGGTTCTCAACCTTTTTAATGCCGTGACCCCCAACCGGTCGTAAGTCAAGGACTACCCAACCGGTCGTAAGTCGAGGACTTTCCCTGCCCGGGAGCGCCGCACATGCGTGGTTCCGCCCCCTGTGCCGGCCGAGGCGTAGCTGGCAAGCGGCAGAGACAGAGCAGGCCGACCACCAGCTGGCCCAGCTCAAGGGAGGTAAGGCACCCGCCGGAAAAGGGGAAAAAAATGGCGGACAGCCTTGCTTGGCGACCCCCGTGAAATGGTCGATCGACCCCAAATGGGGTCGCGACCCATAGGTTGAGAACCGCTGCCCTAGCAGGTTGGGTCTGCACAACATGCAAAACACAAGGACATTGCTGCACTCACCCAACGTGTCAACCAGGCAGACAGATTTGGTACAACATCTAGAAAAGTCCGTGTATCAATATTTTTGTGATATTTTCAGGATGCGGTGGTGCAGTAGTTAGAACCCAGTACTGCAGGCTAACTCACTGCTCACTGCCAGGAGTTCGATCTTGACAGGACTCAAGATTGACTCAGCCTTCTATCTGTCTGAGGTCGGTAAAATGAGGACCCAGATTATTGGGAGGAATAGGCTGACTCTGTAAACCGCTTAGAGAGGGCTGTAAAGCGGTATATATGTCTAAGTGCTATTGCTATGTGTAATTTCAAAAAAATAGATCCAAGAAGAGAGGGGGGGAAAAAATCACTGTAAATTCAACGGGAAAAGATTGAGGAAATGTTACCTTCTGTATTTCTTTTAAATACGCATCGGTGAAATCTCGAGGTTCTCCTGGAGTCATTGTTGCCTTGTGCTCATCTATCTGTTTTTGAAAGAAAGCTTCTGTTTTCTTCGTAAGTGTGATTACTTCCTGATGGGGAAGGGGAAGACTTCTCACTAAGGGCACCTCGTTGTAAATCTACCAGCAAAGAGAAGAAAAGCCAACATCGATTAATTTGATCATGATCAATATATCCTTCTTTGTAGGATAAATTGAGCAGGAAAAGGAATCCCTTGTATTGTCTCTTATTCACAATTTGATAGGGAGTCAAATGCCCCAATAAGGTAACATTTCAAGAAATGCCCCAATATGATAAAAAAAATTCCTTGATTAAATTTTGATAACTGCAGTTTTTGACCATGTATAGAAGCTTCACCCATCCTTCCTGGCTCTCTGGTGAGATATTATTCTAATTGCAAGAAAAACCAGAGAGTGTCCAGACATGAAAACTCAGATTCCCACTACCTAATTGTGCCCTTATTTTGAATATTCTGTTGGATTTTTGTTAAGGATACCAAGACCCAGGGTCCTGCTAGCATTCGGGACTTTTGATGTATCATATCCAGCATAGTTTTGAGGAAGCTGTTATCATATTCAAAATGTTTTCCAAATAATATGGTAGACATTATGTTGGCAACCGCAATGTCCAGAAATCCATTTGGATCAAAAGGCACGTCTGTCAAAGAAAAGAAAAGAGATCCCTATCAATTCATCTGCTTTCATGTTCCTTTAGAGGAGGAGTCACAATGCCAGTGTAATAAATCCTTTCCTATAACTATAAAGAAACTCTGTCTGATTGTCTGTGTCTCTGCCCATCTCTCTCTCTCTCTCTCTCTCTCTCTCTCTCTCTCTCTCTCTCTCTCTCTCT